GATGGCTGCTCACAGGCTTTTAAGACCCCAGACACTACTCACCAAGGTAGAATGTAGAGCATTATCTTTATAAGTAGTGTCATGCCAATTGAGCTAGGTGTTCCCCGAGACCATGGTCCCCAGAGCCTAGAGGAACGTCTTTGTCATCAATCTTCCCTTGGTCTAGGAGCTTCTCAGTGTAGGAACCCTAGGTCTAAAGGATGCACTCTGCTCCTGACACTCCTTTCTTGGTGGTATGAGCTCCCCCGTCTGTCTGCTTGCTTCTCTCTTTTATATCTCAGAAGAGATTGGCTTAAATTGTAGATTAATCTTGTAGACTGAGTTTACATAACTGCCGCTAATCCCATCACATCAACATCATAGAGATAGGATTGACAACACATAGAGAAATCACATCAGATGACAAAATGGTGGACAATCATATAATACTGGGAGTCATGACCTAGCCAAGATGGCAGATATTTTTGGGAGACACAATTCAATCCATGACAAATACCAGTTAAAACAGGCTTCCCATTGTGACTGTTTCACATGGAAGATTTTAGATTCTAAATACTGCATAGAAAAATTAATTTACCTAGGTCAAATATGCCCCCCAATGGCCATTGATTCTCTAAATTTCCTTCACTAAGCCTATGCAAATGATCAATGTAAAAACTCTACTGTGGCCTTGGATGTGGCATTCTCCCCCTTACTAAGTAATCTGCATGTGCAAACAGTCTGAAGGAGCACTAATAGCCTAATGTGCCCTGGAAAAATAGAGTTTGGACAGTTTTCAAACTCGAATTCTGATAATGTTCTGCCACTAAATGGCAGTCTCAAAGAATTCCTGGAACTGGAACAGAAAGTGAAAGTAAAGATAGGGAGCTGAACAAACTTCAAGGGGCTGTCTTCGTAGTAAGCAGAAGCTCAGTTTGAGAGAGCTTGCCTAAAGTGGCTCCCGTGAATTTGTGGAGATAGAAGAGCATAAGGGGCTCATGCTGGCACTGGGCTCCGGGTCCTCAACTTCTTGGGATTTGTTGAAGATAAGACGCCTTTGAATCCTGCCAACTACTCCAAGAAATATCCTAGAGTAAAACTGTCAGACTTGGTTAGAGTGAAACAGAGATTTATTGAGAGCATAAGGAATATTCGAATGGGGGATGTTAGCCCACACAAAGTGAGAACCAACAAATCTAAGGGCAGCTGCTTCACAGGGATAGTTATAGGGCAGAATCAGGAACTTCCCAGCAAGACTCTGATTGGTTGACCCTCACCAGGCTTGATTGTTGAAATTAATACAAGGGTTATAGCTTTAAAGCAGAAACAAGAGTGGAAAACAGAATTGAGTTGGGCCTACTCCTAACTCAGCTACCCTATATATGCCAGGCACCTCTGTTCCGGAGCTCTTATTGAAAACTTATAATCTTTTTAAAGCTGAACTTCCCAATTATCTTTCAAACTAATATCCACTCTGGTTAATACTCAATAAACATTGTGCTCTATTTATAAGACCTGTAACTTTGACATCTAATGTACAATCTTTTGGGTTTAATTGTGTGTCCTTTCCCATCTTATCCCAGAACAATGCAGATCACATATTATAACATGCTAAAACAGGACCTACTACATAATTTGTGGAGCACAGTGCTAAATGAAAACTCAGGGCTCCTTGTTTAAAAAAAAAAAAAAAAATTAGAATTTCTAGACAGTGATGTCAGAACATTAAACTAAGTGTGAGGCCTTTATAAGCCCTAGGTCCTGTGAAACTGTGCAGGTTCCATGCCTGGGAAGACAGCCCTGACTATAAACATTCAGCTACTTGACTTGTTATTATAATCTTTCTCACCAATAGTTTATTCCAGGTATCTTATAAATAGCCATATTGTAAAAAATTGGTGGTTATAATAATTCTGTCTAAAAATAAGCAAGTAATAAGTTGATAAAAAACATAATTCTAATTTTTTTTAAGATTTTGAAAGTATCCGTGAAACATTCCACACAGTAAGCTCTCTATCTCTTAGAATTGGTATAATGAATAACCAAAACAAATATTGTGACATATTAAACTTAGCTTGGACTTTAACACTTAAAAAATGACTGGGCATAGAAAATTAAAATTAATACATTTAGGAAAATGCCCTTTTTGTTGTCATGTTAGCAAATTTCTCTGAGTACAAGATTTGTTATAAATATGAACATGCTCCTTTTTTATATTGCAGGCTGAGCACATGGATATTATTTTCTATCAGATGGGCTATTTCAGAGCATGCTTGACATATATAATGAGAATTATGGCTTCTAATTTGATTGGCCCTTCTTATCTGGTGTGTCTCAATGTATGTTTTTCATATTTCAGAATGCGTACAGAGCCTTTGAATGAGAGAGGCATGGAATAATTTTTATTTTAGAGCCCTCAAAAAGAATCAACATGGTTCATACCCTGATTTGGACCTCTAGCCTCCAAACCTGTCCTTTAAAGTCACTTTGTGTCCTTTAAAGCCACCCACTTTGTGACATTTTCTTATGGAATCCCTACGAAACTAAGTTTGAGGATAGTAATCAGCATAAATCTCCATTATTCCCTTTCCAACATTAGCTGCCCATACAGAAATTTTTCTGTGACCCTAGTCACCTGGAGCTAGGTCAGATCTCACAAGTTAAAAGGATGCAGTCCTCCAGACTGCCAAGTAGGCCCTAGACTTCAGAGACCAGACACTTCTGACCTGCTGGCTACAAGTTTGGGATTTTCTTACTACCCTTCCAGGATATGAGCACAAGCTCGCCAACCCCTCCCCCCGCCAGCCTTCCTTACTTCTGAGCCACTGGCTACAAATTTGGAGGTTCTCTCTACCCTCCTCAGGATACCAGCTGTAAGCTTAGGGGTTCCTAGCCCCTTCACTTCTGACCTGCTGGCTCCCATTACTTCTTTGGGTTCTGTCTTAATTATCTAGTTCTGCTATAACAGAAGTACCACAAGTGGATGGCTTTAGCAAAAAAAGATGTATTCTCTCACAGTCTATGAGGTTAGAAGCCTGAATTCAGAGTTCCAGTTCCAGGGTAAGTCTTTCTTTCTTTGTCAGCTCTAGGGGAAGGTCCTTGTCATGAATCTTCTGGTGGTCTAGGAGCTTCTCAGCACAGGGACCTCAGGTCCAAAGGAAACACTCGCTCCTGGCTCTTCTTTCATTGTGATACGAGGTACCTCTCTCTGCTTACTTCTCTCTTTTATATCTCAAAAAGGATTGACTCAAGATACAACCTAATCTTACAGATTAAGTTCTGCCTCATTAACATAACTGCCTCTAATCCTGCCTCATTAACATCATAGAGGTAGGATTGACAACATATAGGAAAATCAAATCAGATGACAAAATGGTAAACAATCATACAATACTGGGAATCATGGCCTAGCCAAGTTAACACAAAATTGAGGGCACAATTGAATCCATAACAAGTTCAATAATTCACTGAAACAACTTACAGAACTCATGAAAAGCACTATTCTTTTGATTACAGTTTTATTGTAGGAAAATAGACACAAATGAAGACAAATACAGTGAAGTCAGGGAGGTTTTCCAATATGAAGCTACCCTCTCATGTGCATGAATATCTTTCACCAACCAGGAAGCCCACAGAGCTTCAGTGTCCAGAGCCTGGGAGTCTCATCATGCAATGAAAACTCCAACCTTTCTCTCCTGAGGTTGATCATTATCATGAGGTGATCATGACGGTTCTTTCTGTCCTGGCCAGCCCTCACCCTAGAGTCACCTCATCACCTCACCTAACCTGTTAGTTAGGTGTAGTCTGGAGTCCTCATTCAGGACACTTAAGTTTCAAGGTATTTTTAGAGATTATCTATCAGGAACTGAGATCAAAGACCAAATTCTCCAGATAACATTAAATTCTAAACCCCAAACTAAGGCTAATATTCTTTATTGAATAAATATATTCTTTGTAATACCTTAATAATCTTTCTTTATTATTTAACACTATTAGGAGCTTTATCATTAAAGTTTAGTTACTGACTTAGCTATTTCCTCCATAGATTATTTATCTATCATCAATTCCTTTACATCTAAACTCAGTAAAACTGAAATAAAATTTAAAATACTGATTCAAGTTATTTGACAAAAATTCTGAGAAAACATGCACTTTATTAATTATCGAAGCTCAATAAATATTTATTGATGAACTAATACATCCTATCTTTATCTTTGTCATCCACATTAATTATCACCATCACCATTGTTTCTTAAGCACCTACTATAGGAAATGCTCTAAGCACAAAAATAATGACATTTTCTGGGCTTATGAAATAGCAAAATAACTTTAGTATTTAAAGAATTCAGAATAAATATTGACTGATCCACTAATGTCAAATGAGCTTCTTAAAAACCTAAATGTGCAGAGAAACATGAGAAATTAGTGTAACAGAATATATTTATTGTGAGTAGATACAATTCAAATTGGGCAGCTTCAAACTGAAAGTATTGATTGAGAAGATGCTCTGAAGAGGGAGTCATGAAAGAAGGTTATATAGGTGAGGCCTGGGCAGGGTAGTCTCCTGAAGATCATTGTAAATTCCTTTCATGTTGGTTTCTGAGGAAATACAATCAATACAATACATGCAAGATTTCAGGACCAGTCAGTTGTAAAAGCAGTCATTAAAGGACATGTGGAAATTTAATGATCAAGGAATTTTGCTGTAAGGGAGGGTTCTTGTTCCTGACTTCTAGAAGACAACCTCTTTTAGCTAAGGCCCAGCACAGCCTGTTTAGGATTTCAGGGTATCTACAAGCTGTTCTATGATAATATTAATACAATTAATGATTTTGTGGAAGTCACTGTCTGATCTCTTCAAGTACAAGCAATGTGTCTTACTACATTTTTATCCATACTTTAAAGCTAATGCCTGAAATATGGTGGGTGATCAACATATAGTTTCACAAGCAAACAATACGCCAACTACCACGTAAACTTGGAAGAGGACTCAGAATTCCAGAAAGGAACGGAAGCTGCTTACACCTTGATTCTGCCCTGTGAGGACCTGAACGGAGAGTCGTATATTTGGTCCATAGCTAAGCTGTGCCTAGACTCCTGATCAAAAAAATCTGTGAGGTAACAAATGTATGTTGCTTTAAGCCACTGAGTTTATGCTAATTTGTTACAAAGCAATACATGAGGATAGCAGCAATATTTTAGTGACTTCTACAGTAGACCTGCCATCCGAGTGGAGATGATGTATTGACCCATAGTGTACATATGATGGGGACTACAACTTTACTCTTTTAAAGTATTGACTTTTTAAAAATTTTACGTACATCCTAAATGAATCTATTCTAACTGATACAAATTTGGCACTGGAAACCAGGTACAATAACACTCACTCCCTCTGTCGCTCTGTCTCTCTCTATATATATCTATGTATATATATAAAAAACTAAACCCACTTCCTTTGAGTCAATTCTGACTCATAGTGACCCTATTGGACAGAATAGAACTGCCCCAGAGTCTCCAAGGAGCGCCTGGTGGATTCAAATTGCCGAACTTTTAGTTAGCAGCCCGAGCTCTTAACCACTATGCCACCAGGGTTTCCATATGTGTGTATATGTATATGTATATATATATTGCATTACTTTAAGGGTTTTGCTTAGCTGGTGAGGAAATTCTTATTACAGGCTTATTGTTCTTTGCCATTGAGTCAATTTTCAACTCATAGTGACCCCATGTGACAGAGTAGAACTGTCCCATAAGGTTTCCTAGGCTGTAATCTTTATAGAAGCAGATCACCAGGTATTTCTCCTGTAGAGCCATTGGGTGGGTTTGAACTGCCAAACTTCAGTTAGCAGCTGAGTGCTTAACCATCGCACCACCAGGGCTTATCCATGTTAAGTGTGGAGAAACACATGATAAAACTGTCAGAAGTGATTTTTGCTGTGTGGATGATTTATCATTTTACCTAGTAATTTTAAGGAAAGAGTTTGGAAATCAAATTGTTAATAATGTGTGTTGGCTAACTGTTGACTGCTTTTGGGAAGATACTATAAGAAACAGATGGATTCAGAAAATAATGGTCAGTTTGTAAGCAGGAATTGAAGAGTTTAGGATGAGTCCAAAAATGTTAGGAATTGTAGGGTTGGAAAAAGAAATTACTTCTCAACTCTGACCAGTAAAAGATAATATTTAGAAATTCTCTGAAAAACAAAGGCTGATTAAAACTCAGCCATGCAACAAGAATCCAATCAAGGGTTTGGCTGTCATACGTTGTTAAAATCTCTTGATAGATTAAGGTGGTAGCAGTTATATACATTTGATTAGACAAAATAACCCAGGGAAAAGGGACTAAGACTATGACTGTCCTACTAAAGCATGAGAGGTTCAAGATACCCACAGTTAAGAGAAAGGCACAGTCTGAAATTAACACTGGTGTAGCTTGTGGCACATAAAACATACTAGAATCAAGTAAATTCAAAGCTAACATTTTGAGAGAGTTAAACTAGCACAAGAATCATGAGCCTGGGCAAAAAATAGTTGTGGCTAAAACTTGACTCTTGGATTTCCAACTTTCTATAGCCAAGAGAAAGGCTAAGAATGCTGATCAATATCTAAGGAAAACAGAGTCCTCAAATATCCATTTCAGACATGGTAGGGCAACAAAAGAAAGAAGTTATCTTGGGAGGGTGGAGTCCCTTGTTGGTTGCCTTAGTTTCTTAGAGCTGCTATAACAGGAATACCATAAGTGGTGACCTTAAAGAACAGAGATTTTCTCAGTTTAGGAGGCTAGAAGCCCAAATTCAGGGCACTTGCTCTAGGAAAGGGCTCTCTCTGTCCACTAGGGGAAAATCCTTGTCTCAGCTTCTGTGGCATTCCTTGGTGATCTTCATGTGACCTGACTCTTCCCTTCTGTTTGTGCTATGCTTCTCTGTGCATATTCTGCTCTTTTTATATCTCAAGGGTAATTGGCTTAAAACATACCCTACACTGATATGGCCTCATTAACAAGGAAAACCTGATTCCTAAATGGGATTACATCCCCAAGCATAGGGGTCAGGATTTACAACACATATTTTAGGGGACATGATTCAATCCATAGCAGTGGTGCAAATAGTTAACACGTTCAGCTGCTAATTGAAAAGTTGGAAGTTGGAGTCCACTCAGAGGTGCCTCAGAAGAAAGGCCTAGCAATCTACTTCTAAAAAATCAGCCACTGAAAACCCTATGGAGCACAGTTCTACTTTGACACACATGGGGTCAGAGTCAACTGGACCGATGGCAAATGGTTGTTTCTTTTTCTTTAATCTTGGGAGGCGTAACTAAGGATCAAAGAGACCAAAGGAAGCAGACCTACTTCCAGAGAGTGGAAGCAGATCCTAATGGAGAGAAATTCATTTCACACAATATAGGGTCTTTTTGCCACTTCTGCCCATGGGATTTAAAAATTACTGTGCCAATAATTTCTGTGGATTTTCCCTTCTTCACATTTATTTTAAATTGTCCTATTTTTATTCTATCATTATAGATTTGTTTCAGTAGCATACAATTTCCTGGTAAATTTCTGGATCAAAGAGGCCATAATATCTGGACCTTATATAGTAATTACCTCTAATTAAGTTAGAGATCATGAACTCTGAGAGTGGCTTTGATTGTATAGAACTTTGGAATTATCTCCCTTTGGGATAGAGTGAATGTATTGTGCTGTGGAAGGAAAAGTGAACTGAACATATGATGACCAGAGAGTGGAGTGTATAGATAATAATGTTGTTCACTAACTATTTTCGTCTCTGTGTTCTGGACTTTCAGTAGATTTGTGTTTCTTAGCTCACAGTAGTTAGGTGTAGTTACGTAAATACTTCTGACTAATGATCTATGGATAGAAGTGACGTGTGCCATTTTGGGGCTAAGCATTTAATTGACCATGCAAGACATTCTAGAATCACTGTAACTCCCTGTCTTAGTTATCTTGTGCCACTATAACAGAAATATCACAAATAGATGGCTCTAACAAACAGAAATTGATTCTCTCACAGTTTAGGAAGCTAGAAGTCCAAATCTAGGCTTTCAGCTCCAGGGTAAGCCTTTTTTCTTCTGTCAGTTCTGGGGTAAGGTCTTTGTCATCAAACTTTCCCTAGTCTAGGAGCTTCTCACTGCAGGGACCCTGGGTCTAAAGGATGCACATTCTTTAATCCCGGCATTTCTTTCTTGGTTGTATGAGGTCTCCCTCTTCTCTCCTCTCTTCTCTTTTTTATATCTCAAAAGAGATTGATTAAAATACAGCATAATTCTGTAGACTGAGTCCTGCCTCATTAACATAACTGCCTCTAATCCTGCCTCATTAACATCATAGAGGTTAGGATTTGCAATACATAGGATAATTACACCAGATCACAAAATGGTAGACAACCACTTAATACTGGAAATCATGGCCTAGCCAAGTTGATACAGATTTTTGGGTGACACAATTCAATCCTTGACACTCCCAAACTTCAGATGGAAACATAGTATACTTGTATTTTCATTAGGAATTGGAAACTTCTAAAAGAGATAATAATTAAAACCAACAAATTCTTAATCAGGCATGATGCAGAGGTAGGGCAGTAGGTAGGGAGAAAGATTAGGAAAAAATGAGGAAAACCAAAGAAAAGAAGACAGAAAATTTTAAAAACAAAGAGAATGCTTTTAGGGTAAGGGGAGAATAGGTGGGAAGAGTTCAAACAATATTTCCAGCTACTGTGAGCAGTTGTAAAAGTGGCTCCATTGGCCTGAAACCCAAGGTGACTGTGATGAACTGAGCCCCCATCATGCCCCTCAATAGATATGTATCACAAACCAAAACAATTTCATTTTAGATTTATACCACTGATATTTGGGAACTACTTCTTATCACAACATAACTTACCCATCTGAATAACAAAGAAACGAAGTCTCAATTAACAGCCAAATCATATCTTTTAGGGTAAGGTAACAGGGAATCTAAGAGGTAGTGGTGGTGGTGGTGGTTATTTACTGTCTAGTAGATTCTGACTCATAGCAATCCTATATGACAAAGTAGAACTGCACCATAGGGTTTCCTAGGCTTTAATCTGTCAGTTTGTTGTACTGTGGTGGCTTGCATGTTGCAGCGGTACTGGAAGCTTTGCCATTGGTATGTCAAATACCAGCAGAATCACCCTTGGTGGACAGGTTTCAGTTGAGCTTCAAGACTAAGACGGACTAGGAAGAAGGACCTGGCAGTCTACTTCTGAAACAACTGGCCTATGAAAACTTTATGAATAGCAGTGAAACACTGTCTGATATACTACCAGAAGATGAGCCCCTCAAGTCAGAAGGCACTCAAAATACGACTGGGGAAGAGCTGCCTCCTCAAAGTAGAGTCAACCTTAATGACGTAGATGGAGTCAAGCTTTTGGGACCTTCATTTGCTGATGTGGCATGACTCAAAATGAGAAGAAAAAGTTCCATTAATAATCCGAACATGGAATGTGTAAAGTATGAATCTAGGAAAATTGGAAATTGTCACAAATGAAATGGAACGCATAAACATCAATATTCTAGGCATTAGTGAGCTGAAAAGTACTGGTATTGGCCATTTTGAATCAGAC